TCTAGAATATCATGTATTAGAAGTTCAGCATGATGAGCCACGTAATGAGATTCGTGGGTTTGATTAACCCTGTAATGTTAGCTCTGGAGTATCATGTATTAGAAGTTTAGTATGATGAGCTATGTAATGAGGTTCGTGGGTTCGATGAACATTGTTAAATCAGCTTTAGAATATCATGTATTAGAAATTCAGTATGATGAGCTATGTAAAACAAACAATATCTTATGCTCTGACTGATGTAACATATCACGTGTCTTATGTACAATATCTTGTGCTAAACGCGGAATTTCGTAGTTCACTACGTAGAATATAATTCATTGGCTGTACAATATCCAGTGTTAGACATATAGTGCCACGTTTGTTGTTTCAGATTCGGAACTCATATTCAGATACTGAATGCCATGTATATGAACTATTATCCTGTATGCCACAGTTACGGTGTGTATGTCTAGAATATAAAATACCAGATGTAGAATATAACATCTTAGATGCGTAGCATAATGTGAGTTAAGTAGAGATATGCAATCTCAGATGACATGTAGTTTGTCAAATACATTAGGTATGTCACGAGTTGAATGTCACATTTACCGTCATGTAAATGTTAAGATGTATAATGTTGTGTTTCGGTATTCATTATACTATGTATCACACGTACAATACATAAAAACGAAAAATATCTCACACTATGTACTTAAAGTAGATTACAAACATAGTATTCGTATTATTATATCTCACATTATGTACTTAAAGTAGATTACAAACATAGTATTCGTATTATTATATCTCACACTGTATACTTAAAGTAGATTACAAACATAGTATTCGTATTATTATATCTCACACTATGTACTTAAAGTAGATTACAAACATAGTATTCGTATTATTATATCTCACACTATGTACTTAAAGTAGATTACAAACATAATATTTGTATTATTATATCTCACACTGTATCCTTAAAGTAGATTACAAACTGTACCTGAGCCTTAGCTAATCGGCTCCAGTCGGGTGTTATATACCATAGAATCCCCTCCTTAGCACCTGGAAGGGTCACCCCTCGGAAGAACATGATCACCAAAACCAAATAAGGAAAAAGCGCGGTAAAGTATACCACCTTAATGTAGAAAAGAAATGGAACAGTACATTAACTCATTCACAAAATGTTTAAACCTGATATTAAAAACACAACAAAAAAACAACAGCATTGTCTCCAAATTTTTTTGCCCTTTCTTTGTCATTAAATAAAGATGAATTCAAAAGGATATAATGATTAAATTTTTATTACTTCACTTTCATTTTTACAATACACCCATAGTCGAAAGTATGGAGTCTGCTCAGTAGCACCACACCTCGAACCTTAGACCCTTCTAATCGCAACGAACACTACACTACACCCTACCATTATTTTAGCATCATGTTTCTATTTGTTATTCATATCTGCCTAGAAAAAGCTACGGTGAAAACTGAGAAAAACAAACATATGTCCCATTTTGTTAAAGTATCATATTACTGCGCTAAAACTCTTACATTCTGTGGTCGGTTTTTGCTTTTTTGACTTATAAAGCTGTGAAACGGCTATTTGTGGAATAATAGATTTATTTCAATATAGCGTTTCGTCTATAATATTGAGACATGATTACGTACAAAATTTAAATCTAATTATTTTCTCCCTATTTACTCCACAGACTATTCGAGGGAAGGAAGAGAAAATGGTCAGAGAAGGATGTTGATGATAAGGAGGTTATAGTTATACGTGATTCGTTGACAAGGAATGTGGATAGAATAGTCTGTGGGGTAAATAGGGAGGAAATAATCAGATTATGCTACTCAGGGGTACAGATGGAGGATATAACTGACAGAGCAGGAGATATAATAAAGAGGACTAGCAGAGATGCAGTTTTGGTGGTGCATGTAGGGGCTAATGATCTAGGTAAAGGTAGATCAGAGGAGCTAATTAATAAGTACAGAGGGTTGATAAAGGCATTTAAAGAAAAAGGCAATAACTGTTTTTGTCAGGGATATTGCCCAGAATTAACTGTGAGGATGAAGTTATAAGTAGGTCACTACAGATAAATGCTAGGCTTAGGTAAATATATAAGAATGAGCAGATAGGTGGGTTAGACTTGTGGAACCAGTTCAATGGAAGAAGGGAGCTTTTTTGAATGGGTGGTTTACATTTAAATAGGATAAGGGCTGGTTTACTTGCAAGATCTATTAACTCAAGGGAAGTAATAAACTATGAATGGACAGTGGTGAGGGCCAGGATAAACTAAATGCAAAATAATAAAGAGGTGGAGAAAAGTTTAGCATAGGAATGAGTATAGAAGTAATCAAAAGGGTAATCTTAATTGTTACTATTGTAATGCTAGAAGTATAAGAACTAAAACAGATTACTTTAGAGCACTGGTAGGAATGGAGGATTTTGATATAATGGGAATAACTGAAACATGGTTACATGTAGATGATTTTTGATGACAGAATTTTTTTTTTGAAATACAGGGTTATAGGTTAAAGAAAAATTAAAAAAAAGCATAATAAATTTAATAAATTTAAATTCACTGGTATGACGGGAGATTTAAAAGATTATAGAAGGTCAAGAAAGTTGGTAAAACAGGAAATTAGGACATCAAAAAATATGCATGAGAAAAGGTTGGTTGAAAATGTAAAAATTTGCAGTAAGGATTTCTTTAAATATGTTAATGTTAGGATGGGTGAGGACCGTTGAGGGATGACAAAGGATGGCTCATATCTGATGATTATGAGATAGATGGGTTATTAAATTTTGCCTTTTCATCAGTTTTTACTAATAACTAATAAAGCTTTGAACAGTATTCCACATCTTGAACAGTTGATAGATGGAAACAAGATCGTTAGCTGGTTAGAAAAAATTGGGAAGTTTAAAACACGATGAGGTTCATTGGCAAAATAATAGTTCCCCAAGGGTTTTGAAGGATGTTAAGAAATGGATATATGAGCCACTTGCTACTATTTTTTGTAAGTCCTTGAATAGGGGCAATAGGAAATTAGCTAATGTCATTCCTCTTTTCAATGGAGGTGATTAAAAATTGTCCCAGTAATTATTGGTCCGTTAATCTTACATCAGTTGTGGGAAAAATTCTGGAAAGTCTGATAAATGATGCTTTCCCAAATCATTTAACAAAGTTTAGAATTTTATTGGATAGTCAACATGGTTTCACTAAGGGAAAATCTTGCCTTACAAATCTTTTGATATTATTTGAAAAAGTAACTTTTAATTCAGATGAGGGTAAGAGTGTAGATTTAGTGTATCTGGATTTTCAGAAAGCATTTGACAAGGTGCTGCATAAAAGGCTTGTAAGAATTTATCTCTTTAGGTGTGGGGGATAAGTTAGCAAACTTATAGTGGCGGTATGGAAGAAAGCATTGGGTTCTTATAAATGGAGTCCAATCAAAGTGGATTAACGTTATAAGTGGGGTATCTCATAGCTCAGTTATAAGACCTTTGCTGTTTTTTGATTTACATCAATGACATAGATGAAGGAATGGTCAATAAATTACTCATTTTTGCAGATGATATTAAGGTCTTGGGCGTTACTAGATGTGAAAGGATGCTTCTACTTTACAAAAGGACTTAGATCATTTAGTGAGTTGGGCAAATAAATGGTAGATGGGTTTTAATTATAATAAATGCAATATAATGCATGGAAGTAACCTTAACAGTGCTATGAAGGAAAATGATCTTGGTGTAATAGTTGATCAGTCTATTAAACCATCCAAGCAGTGTGCTGTTGCCTGTGGTAGGGAAAATAGGATCTTATGTTGTATCTACAGAAGTATTGAATACAAGTCTAAATATGTTATAATTTCATTGTATAGGTCACTGGTTAGGCCACATTTGCAATATTGTGTTCAGTCTTGGTCTCCTTACCTTAGGAAGTACATTGAATTGTTGGAAAAGGTTCAGAGGAGGGTTACTAGAATGGTGCCTTAGATGGAAGGGTTGTTATACGAGGAGAGGTTGAGATCTCTCATATTGTTTCCTTTAAAAAAAAGAAGAGTTAGGGGGGATGTCATTGAGGTGTTTAGGATTGTTAATGTAACTGATAGTGTTGATTCGTCATATTTTTTCATAACTAATTTTGCCAGGGTAGATGTCATCTTCAGTTAAGACAGTTTTATTTTTCTATCAGGTTGGTTAGCCTTCGGATGTTGTGGGGGCTGTAAATATAAGCGAGTTTAAGAGAAAGCTTGATAACTATATGAGCTGACTAAGATTTTTTTAAATTTACTTATTTAATAGTTTTTAGTTTAGTTTAGAGCATGGAACAGCCGCGGTGGACACATAGGTCCCTTTTTGTCCCAAAACACTATATGTTGATATAGAGAAAAACCCAAATAAAAGAATAGTTATGAAAGCACTAAAAATCAAAGAATTAAAACCCAACGTTAATAAAACATCAGAAGCGCCATCATATTTGTATCAAGTTAATTACGTTTAAAACCAGAGGGAGCTAGTATCATAAACCGAATCATTTGATCGAATATATTTGGAAGTTGAATGTACTTGTATCCTAAATGTTGTACGTCATCAGTTAGAGACGAAACGTCGCACTGAAATAAATCTATTATCTCACAAATAGCCGTTTCAAAACTTTATATTATTCGACTTTGTTTAGTATTATTTTACAGAGCTAGTATAAACCGTTTCATTCTTTACTGATATATGAAATTAATGTCTGTGATAAATAGATCTATGTGATAGATAACAATTTATATGTACAAATCTCATTATATGCACACATTATCTCATCTTGTTTTTTGTACATTCAGGACGTGCTGGGGTAAGTAACTTGTACAAGACATGCAGGGGTAAGTAACTTGTACAGGACATGCTGGGGTAAGTAACTTGTACAAGATATGCACACATTATCTCATCTTGTTTTTTGTACATTCAGGACGTGCTGGGGTAAGTAACTTGTACAGGACATGCTGGGGTAAGTAACTTGTACAGGATATGCTGGGGTAAGTAACTTGTATCAGCAATGGAACTTCGTCAGTTATCTTTCTTATCATTTGCTTTAATTAGTTTTTCTTTTTGAAGAAATTTGTTCCTTTCATTCTGTCGATTAATTTAGTATTTAATTTTCTTTCATTAAAAACCCAGCCAAGTATCTGGGATTACATTACACGAAAAGTAAATATAATATTGCGGTAACAATCAATAACACAGGCCTACGATGGTTTTATTGTCTTGAAATTTTTACATGTTCTACAGTAATTCCTGTACGCTTAATCCGAAAATGATAGACATTTTTCTCCATCACGTTCAGATTTTTCACAAAACGTCATAATGCAATACATTAAAGATTTGTTTGTTTGTTTGTTGGAATTTCGCGCAAAGCTACACGAGGTCTATCTGCGCTATCCGTCCCTAATTTAGTAGTGGAAGACTAGAGGGAACTCAGCTAGTCATCACCACCCACCGCCAACTCTTGGGCTATTCTTATACCAACAAATAGTGGGATTGAACGTCACATTATAACGCTCCCACGGCTGAAAGGGCGAGCATGTTTGGCAGGACGGGAATTCGAATCCGCGACCCTCAGATTGCGAGTTAAACGCCCTAACCACTTTGCCATGCCGGGCCTTACATAAAAGAAAGACCACAACACGTAGTTTCGAGACTAAAAGACGTAGATTTCACAAAAAAATCAGAATGAATGAGGATACATATTCGTTTGACATCAATTATTTGTTTGGAAGTTAAGCACAAAGCTACATAACGTGCTATCTGTGCTCTGCTCACCACGGGTATCGAAACCTGGTTTGACATCAATGTTCTTCCCATTTCTTCACTTTGTTTGTATTTTTGTTAACAAACATAATAATAAAAAAATGTTCATTGTGGTAAACGAAATAATAATTTGATCTAAGTAAGACTTTTTTCTTCCCGATTTGTAAAAAAAAGTCTTACGTGATAGAAAAAAATGAATATTATTTTCGAAATTTTCGTAACTAAATTATGGAAAATACGTTATTAAAACCAAAACAACTTCTATAAAGTTTGAATTCGCAGGCCTGTGTAATTAATGCTAAGATAATGCTACGATCGTGAAAAAGTACCCTGAAGTCTGCTCATCCTTACATAATCAGCTGAGTAGTATAATCATAGTACACCATGTAACGTACCTTCCCCGAAGTCTGCACACCCTTACATAACCAGCTGAGTAGTATAATCATAGTATACATTTTTACGTACCTTCCCCGAAGTCTGCACACCCTTAAACAAACAGCCAAATACTATAATCCAGGCTAACAGAAGACAAAGAACCAGGTACCACTTAACCTCGCCGGTATCTTCAATTCCTCTCGATATGTCGAGAACGTAATGTCTTAAAAGAGAATATATACAAAACTATAATAGGCATATCATATTTCAAAAAATCGTAAACGTAGTTTAATAATACTTTAATATAGTAACATTGTGCATTTATCGAGCAAATAATGTATTTTGAGCTCATTAAATACAATCATTTCCATGAGAGATTTGATGTTTAACAGAACAATTCTTCTTTAATTCTTGCTTGGATTATCACGTACCTTAACTTGAGAAACATAAGCCTATTAGATAAATTATGGAATATGAAGTTGAATAATTGTTATTTTAATGTATATGAAATAAAAAGTAATTTCGAAAGTCTTAAGTGTTCATGTTAAATATTTAACTAGTGACAAACCAAAGTTTTGCAGTCGGAAGTTTCGAGACCGTCTGTTTATTGTTTTGGTTTGACCAGAAGTTCACAGTGAACATATCATTGGTAAAGAAATGAAAAAATAAACACCACTTACAGAAAATACTCATCAGCAGGAGTTTTCTTAACCATAGTTTTAACGATGGTTGAAAGGTTCAGAGACACTGACGTTTCGTAATCAACACAAGTCTTGTTATAATAAGTTCCGTTTCGTTTGGCACATTCATCAGCAGCTTGATAAGAGTAACATGCTAAATACAAATAAAAGGTTCCATTCTTAAAGATATATAACTATTACTACTTCAAGCATATAACTAATGCCACTTCAAGTTTCATTGTTTAAAGCATATAACTAATGCCACTTCAAGTTTCATTGTTTAAAGCGTATAACTAATGCCATTTCAAGTTTCATTGTTTAAAGCATATAACTAATGCCACTTCAAGTTTCATTGTTTAAAGCATATAACTAATGCCACTTCAAGTTTCATTGTTTAAAGCATATAACTAATGCCACTTCAAATTTCACTGTTTAAAGCATATAACTATTACCACTTCTAGTTTCATTGTTTAAAGCATATAACTAATGCCACTTGAAGTTTCATTGTTTAAAGCATATAACTATTACCACTTCTAGTTTCATTGTTTAAAGCATATAACTATTACCACTACAAGTTTCATTGTTTAAAGCATATACCTATTACCACTGCAAGTTTCATTGTTTAAAGCATATAACTATTACCACTTCATGTTTCACTGTTTACGGCATATAACTACTGCTACCTTAAGTTTAATGTTTAAAGCCTATAACTACTGCTACTTTAAGTTTCATTGTTTAAAGCATATAACTACTGCCACTTTAAGTGTTTTGTATTTGGATATTTCCAAGTATAGCAGTTTTTCATTAGTAGCTGCATTCTATGTAAAGTAATATATTACAGCTTGCTCTACTACAATTGAATCAGTAAACTATCGCGGAATATTCTACAAATAAAGTAATGTTTTATTAGAAGTGAAACACTTTTATAACTTGTCGTTCCTTAAGTGAAGAACTGTTTTATAACTGTTCGTTCCTCAACGAAACAGTGTTTCATAGTATAATGTAATACAAATTAAGCAGTGTCTTATAACTAGCTGTGTTACAAGTAAAGCATTGTTCTATCTATATACTACTAAAACTCCGAGACTGTTTGTTTGTTTGCTTGTCTGTAATTAAATACAGCAAAAATGGCACACAATAGCTCCATATTTGTAATGAAATGAGAATAGAAACAGAATAAAACAAGTTTCGTTAAAATCGGGCCACGGGTTACCGAGTTAGCGCCGTTAGCGTTATGAAACTTTCTAGCATGAGTAATTTTACATCACACTACCGTTCGCGCTCTTCACGAAACTTCTTCGCTCAAATCTATTTCCCTGTCAATGTTCCCATCTTCATTAAAAGGCGTAAGATGACAAAAACAAGATCTTGAAGAATCTATCTATCTATCTATATACAACTGAACTCGGAGATTGTTTGTTTGCTTGCTTTCTCAGTCAAAAAAATCATTCACACTACCGCTCGAGCTCTTTACGAAACTTCATCGGGCCACGAGTTACCGAGTTAGCGCCGTTTTTCGAGTCCCTTTTATGCAAATTTCTAGCATGAGTAATTTTACATCACACTACCGTTCGCGCTCTTTACGAAACTTCTTCGTTCAAATCTATTTCCCTGTCAATGTTCCCATCTTCATTAAAAGGCGTAAGATGACAAAAACAAGATCTTGAAGAATTTCTCAATAATGTTCCTTGGTTATGGTAGGTAATTAGAAGAGAAAATAAAGTGTTACTGTTTCTTATTTGTAGAAAGTTTAAGAGGAAAGATCATAACATAATGAACTAATTCATCACGATACCTGAAAACTCTGACTTCACTTTTTGAAAAATGAAATGGACTTTACTTTTACTCCCGATCAACAATTATGAATAACATGAATGGATTGAAATATTTAATTAAATTATCTCAAAATAAACCTTCATTTTCGTGCAAGATTGAAATTAGCTTAAATTCTTCATAACCTCTGAATAGTGTATTGGAACTGTTCATGAGATGATATGAAATACAAATATTAAATTATTACTTTCGTTCACACATATTAATATAAAGTATATTTTAATACAAAACTTTGAAAGTTTCAGTATTTTACTCTCTGTACATATACAGCGTGTGTTCTCCTATAAGTAAACACATTTATTATATGTATAACCCGAATGTATAACCCGAATCTAGACAAAACCTTCCTAGATTTTAGCTGAGGTAGAGCGAAGAAAGTTGTTAAAAACTAAACTTTAGGACATTGAAAAGAAAAGCAAAGCAAATACAAGTTTATTAAATAGTTTTACTGTTATTAAAAACTCAATCTAGGCTTTATTGGTTTAAAAACCAAAAAACTTAACAGATTTAATTGGAACTGGGATATCGATGAAAAAGAGCAAAGTGATCTGAACTCAAAAAGATTCGGAATTTGTGGTAAAACAAAACAAAACACACACAGAAAAAAAAACATTAAGACATTGCAGCACTAATTTTGAAATAAGCTAGCTTATGTTCAATAATCAATAGAACTCTCATCCAAATTCGCTTATATTTTTGAAGTGTTTTATTATAAAGCTGAGTGATAAAATCATATCTTGATTCTTAAACAAACAGTTCGTTGTAAAACGTATGCAGATTTTTCAATAAATAAAGATTATTGTTTGGTAATGGCTTATTTCGAATTACATTTTAAGGAAAAAGGGGTTTCTCTTCAAAAATTCCATTCTAAAAACGGATTGGATAAAAATAACGCCTGTTTCCCCTCCCCCTGGTAACACACTGAGTTTTAGAAAAATAATTTCCCCTGGAGAACGATGATCCTTATGAGGAACTGGAAGATGAACTTCTAACAACCTGATACAGCTTATACTCTCAGCTTATAGTCGATTTTACCAGCATGGAATTTGTCCTTTTTCTGTACTCGAACAGCTTTAAGGAATTAGCCACGCCTTATTCTTTCCTTTTTCTTCCGTTACTAGTTTATGACAGTAATATTTAATGGTGTTTGTTTTTTACTGATTTTGAGGAAACACAAATTAAATACTTATATCACTTATATTATTTAAATGAAATCATGTAATTCTGATAAAGCTACTATTTCTGACCACTCAACGGTGATAAGCTAGAAAAGTACAAAGTTTAAATATAGTTCTTACTTAAGAGTAGTGCTGCCCCCTAGTGGCACAGAGGCAAATCTGAAGGCTTTTTACGCTAATAAAACCAAGTTTTGATATCCATGGTGGGCAGAAAATATTGTGTATCTTTGTGCATAACTACAAACAAACAAACCGTAGTGCTATACTTGAGCTATCCCTTATTTATAACCAGTGCTGAACCCGGAATAGTTTTCATTTACCAGCAGTATTGAACTCACAATAGGACTTACTTACAAGTAGTGATCCACTCGGGATAGTTATTTGCTTAACACCAGTACTCACTCTAGATAGCTCTTACTTACCAGTAGTCCTTCACTATGGATAATCCTTACTTACCAGCAGTTCCCCACGCTGGATAATTCTTATTTACCAGCAGTCCTCCACCCTGGATAATCCTTATTTATCAGCAGTTCCCTACTTTGGGTAATACTTATTTACCAGTACCCCTCCACTCTGGATAATCCTTATTTACCAGCAGTCCTCCACTCTGGATAATCCTTATTTACCAGCAGTCCTCTACTCTGGATAATCCTTATTTACCAGCAGTCCTCCACTCTGGATAATACTTATCTACCAGCAGTTCCCTACGCCGGATAGTATCTATATACCATACTTACTTCACTTTTAATAGTCCTTACTTAGCAACAATACTCCACTCTAGATAGTCTTTGCTTACCACGAGTCATTTACTTTGGATAATTCTTAATTATCAGCATGAGGTAGCCCTTATTTACTAGTAGTACTTGATAATCCTTACTTATCAGCAGTATTCCTCTTGAAATAATCTTTACTTACAAGCAGTATTCCACTTGGAATAATCCTTACTTACTAGAAGTATTCCATTTCAAATAATATTTGCTGACCAGCAGTGGTCTGCTTGGAATAATCCTTACCAGCAATATTCCGCTTGGAATAATTCTTACTTAGCAGCAATATTCCAAGTAAAGTAATCCTTTTTTACCTTCAGTATTCCACTTCGAATACTTCTTACTTACAAAAATAGTCCGTTTGAAATAATCCTTACTTACCAGCAGTATTCCACATGGAATAATTTTCACCAGCATTATTCCTCTGAGAATAATTCTTACTTATCAGAAGTATTCCACTTGTAATAGTCCTTACTTACCAGCCGTACTCCACATGAACTAATTCTTACTTACCAGAAGTTTTCCACTTGTAATAGTCCTTACTTACCAGCCGTACTCCACATGGACTAATCCTTACTTACCAGCCGTACTCCATCCAGGCTCACAATTTTCCCAGGGTAATTTTCTTGACCAGGAAGCAAAGGTGTAGAACAAAGTCCAAGCAATGATCATGTTGTAGTACAGCATCACCGTACAGGAAATCAAAACCATACCGTATCCAATTCCTATAATTTCGAAACAAAGAAAGGTCCTATATTAATTTGAAATACATGTTTGTTTTTATGTATATGTAAATCTAAACTAATATAATTATCACATAAATTATCTAAACAAAAGACCATTGCTTTTAAAACACAATCAAAGAAAAGGTCAGTAAATACAGTGAAGTATTGTTTAGGTGAAATGTTTTAATTGTCAAATGTCACGAAAATGAACAGACCACGTGCAAAACACACTTTAAAAACAGCTGTTTTGATTAGTAATATATTTTAATTTATTTCACTATTTTGTTACCACTAATAATATATACTTATAATATATAATGATATATATGTTACAAACGTTATCTACTTCGATGAATTTGTTTTTTAATATTATTTTTGATAACCTTAGCAAGAATGCCCCTGGAAAATACCTAAAATAGTTATCCATAAATGCAAATAAACCATTCAACTAAGTCTCAACATTGTCTTTGGCTTCAAATAGCTAATTCAAAAATAAAAAAGAAGAAAATATCGTTTGATGCTGTAAGTCCACTAAGTAAGATTTTACAGCTTGCTTTTAAAAACAGACTCATAATTCTGATTTAATTTATAATTTTATATGCACATCAATTTTATGGAAATATTTTACAAGTTTTTGAAATCTTCCCCGATTTTTTTGTTTTTACAGTTTACAAGCATCTTAAAGTACATTATTTTTAAGGTTCTTATAACAAAAATAAACATGTTTACATCACGTTTCAAGCATTTGATCGTTAGTTGTCAAGCGCAAACCTTTCAAATATTCCCCCTCAAAATCCGTTTACATTCTTCGGAGGTTAGTAACTACATGCAACTCTTACGTAAAGTTACAAAAACAAACAAAATAATACAGTCATTAACAAACATTCTTTAGTCATGAAAACACTGATTGTATTTTCGTTTATACTATTATTTGTTCATCAAACTGAAAAAAGATCCAAGTAGACACTATCTTTGCAATTTTAAGAAATAATGATAATAAATTTAAAAACATATCTTAAACTTAGAATCTTAAAGAAAATAATTAAAGTGTGGGCCGTATAAATGTGAAAATGTTTTTTTAGAAAGAAAAAGTGAAACATTACCTTTCCCTGAAAAAAAAAGTGTTAAAATATAAGCACTATTTGACCCACACCTGTTAAAATCAAGACTAGTAAGTCTGCTAGCTCGGTGGTTACCCTGAAACAGCGGGCAGAATCGTTCGAAGAGAGCAGCCGGCCCGAGGTTGGCGTACTGACCAATGGCCAACTCCATGAACATCAGGGGTAGTCCAGCAAGTAGCATCATGATGACAAATGGGATAACAAACGCCCCTATAAAACAATCAAAAGTAAATCGTGAAAACGATAATGTGGTTGTTTCGATAAAATTAAAACATTTTTTATAGCCATGACAAAATTAGGATGTAGGTGTAATAGCTTTGTAACTTACGAACAAGTTTAATAAGCGAGTAATATATTCTGTAAAGGATCGGTAAGAATTTTGTAAACACGACACAACAGAGTGACATCTTGAAGCATGTAAAATCTGGGGTTCGATTCCCCGCGATAGATATAGCAGATAGCCCAATGTGGCTTTGCTCCAAAAAATAAAAATAGAAAAGGTTCTAGCTTTTTGTAATATTCTTACTGCCACAACTTTAAAACAGGATCTTATCAACAAGGAAGAGATTTATAATTGTAATCTCGAGACACAAAAACTAGGATTAACTTTATTGACTAAAATATAATTTTTTTTAAAAAACAACAAAAAACAAATGAAACTGAATGCATAATACAAGGTCGAAATATAATAAACCTTATAGAATTTTCATATTAAATCTCACTTTCAATTTCATCATATTGGGTTTTTACCTATTTAATTCAGGCACTATAGTGGATGACCCGCCATTGCAACAGAATATTTTAAATCTGTTTTGAACTGAGCAAGCTGGTCCTTACAACATATTATAAACATGTAATTTCAAGTTAGCATGTGTCACTCATGCACCAACTTAAGATATTGTAGTAACGTGGAATTATGAGCATTCAATGGTTGGTTATTTCCACCCAAGGGCCATTTGTCTTCGTACTGTCCCAATGCTCTCGTTATGTATGTAAACATGACTAAATTAGTTTTAGGTGTAATGACCAGTGCAGCTAAGAGTGTATCATAAGATTAAGTATGTGTTAGCTGTGTTGTGTATTTACATATTTCAGATTAATGTGTATAATTAAAAAAGATGGAGGCTCCAGCATACTGTGTCACGTGTCAAGAGACGCTGGATGAAGGAAAGTCAGCAGTAGTTACTCTTTGTCAAGGGACGCTAGATGAAGGAAAGTCAGCAGTAGTTACTTTTCGTCAAGAGACGCTAGATGAAGGAAAGTCAGCAGTAGTTACTCTTCGTCAAGAGACACTAGATGAAGGAAAGTCAGCAGTAGTTACTTTTCGTGAAAAGCGAAGTGCAGGTATTAATCGTGCAAGTAGAGAACAAAATTATGACATATACACTGTGCCTGGCCAACAGATTAATCAGGATTGCCAGAATGAAATGATGACATATACACTGTGCCTCGCCAACAGGACCACCAGGATTGCCGTTGCGACTATTGTAACCCATAACAAATAGCTGGAACTCTACAAAAGATAATTCTGCGAAAGACGTGTTCTTCGATCATCAGAAAAAAGCTTGAAGTTTAATATGAACTGTTTCTTCTGTAGCATGCCAGCCATCATTGAGGGTAAGACATCTGATATTTTCACTGTAACGACTGTAAGGATACAATACTGGGAACTTTCAACGAGCGGCAAGATAAATGGGCTGACACTGTACCAGCTAGTCTTCTATCTGTTCATGATTTGTCTGCTGCCGATGATGTTTACCGTCAAGTATGCAGTGTCAATTTCCGCACAAAGAAGGAAATCCCTAAAATTCACGAGACTGACAAAAATTGTGTGTAAGTTGACAAAACATGGGCAGCCATGTAATGGGGAAAAATACGGACGTATTCCTAAAGGTAGCAGGGTATCTTGAGGATAACGATGGGGAGAAAGTCATAATAAATGACCTTATTGGCCTCATTCCAATACAACTGACTGATCCAGAAACTGTAGCATATGGTTTTATGCACATGAAGACAAAACTCAAAGAAAACATTGGTGATAAGGTAATAATAATGAGATTAATGGAAAAGCCAATGTAGTAACCTTTTGACACACTGATGCTGCCCTCCTACAAGACTTCCATGCTCATCAGAAAGCTGACCCAGATATAGAGAAATAAGCATCATACAATCTACTGCTAAGCTCATTACGGATGATATAAAACCAGAAACATTTCTAATACCATTGATGACTGATGCACTACCAGCACCCGAGCAGCTTGGAGTGTACCTGTCGAAAACACAACCAGGAGTGTTCTGGTGTGACTGGTGTAGTGAATTACCTCTGCACACCTGCATTACGATGAGGAGGATGAGGCTGACTTGGATGAGAATGGTAATGATAACATCAGTCCCTAGACAGTTTGATGGACATCAGCAAATCCAATACAGATTATCAGAATGATACCGAATTTATGCTTAATGTTATGTAAAGTGGCTGATTTTAAAGATGGTGGACTGTTTTATTAATCTCATATTGTTATCAAAATGCTATGTAAAACATTTGTGGAAGATATCTTTTAAATCTGCTTGTATGTATGTTTTTCTGTATGTTATCATGTTTATGGTTGAAGTATAATGACATAATTATAAACAATTACTGAATATCACATTAAGAGTTCATAGTTATGGGCTTCAAAATATATGCTTTGCATTTTTATTCAACTAGTTATTGTACTTTTTTGATGATATCCATATTACACCGTTTTAAATTAACAATTTTTACTAATCTTGTATTACGACACTCATAGAAAGGATGGGTTTAACACAAAAAGAGAATTAATTCATTCATTTTCTATGTATAATACATAGAAAAGCCCAGCAGTAATTAATGTTGTTAATTACTATATTGATGGTATTTTACATTCTTTTTTGTGACTACAAATTCTACTAGGTGTTACATGGACCCACGAGCAATTTAATGCATACATAATTTAGAGAAATGTATCTTAAAAGACGACCAGATCCATCAGAACTCAACTAGCAGTACTATGGTAAATTTGTAATTAATACTCTAACAATCTTGTTATCCAGCTTGATTTCCGTAACAAAATGAGTTACTAAGAAGATTGAACAGGACACTTTTAATGTCCATGTAAATAAAGTAAAATTTTACACCTCAAGCAAGTCGTCATTTGTTAATATTCATTCCAAAACGCACTTACCTCTGCTGCCACTTATAGTTATTACTCGACCACCAAGGTTTCTTCTTTGCCCATCTAAGCATTAGTCCGATTTTTTCTTGCTTGTTCCAATGTTTTATTCTCCAATTAATTGTCCTTTGCGATAATTGTCTCGTGATACTCTCCACCTACGTTAACGCACCATCTATCCAGTTACTGGGATGGTGAACAGAGGCTTTTCTTCCAGAGTGTTAGAGTGAATTCCTCCACTCTTGGAGAAGAAAGTGAAGTTGTGGCCCTCCTACCCAAGTTCCTGGATGTTTTTTCCAAGATGTCGGTAGGAGCAGTACCAGCCTAAGCGGTAGCCTACTTGTAGTACCAGTTCAGATTTGATGCTCAGCTATCCTGTTGGGGTATGCATGGCCCTTCTTTTTGCTCAATATTGGTTCAGTATATTGTTCATGGAAGGAGGTCCACTCTCTCCTCATAATTCCGAATGCGGAGTGGTCACATCCTGGGTCCTTGGTTGAGCAAAGTTGTTCCACGTCCTCCACATACTTGTGGGGGCAAGTGGAAGGCTCCTTGACCCTTGGTTGAGGGGTGAAGATGAATGTTCATAATTCCAGACCGGATGAGTTCTGTTCCTTTGTTTGAGTAAGGCATACACGATCCCATCAATCTGTGTCTGGGGGAAGGGGGTACCTTTTGGGCTTTTTAAGGTGGAGCAGAAGATTCATCCACTTCATTGTTACTTACTTTCTCGTCGTAATTCGGGTGGTTTGGAATGCATCTCTCTATGGCTACAGGTTGGGCACCAATCAAAAGTATATCTATATATAACTTTGCAGTCCAATTTCCCTAGCCACCAACATGGGATATAGGGACCAAGACTCCTTAATTCCAACCCCGAGTAGTGGAACCTCAGCTATTTGGTTGGGGTGGCCTATAGTGATGATCACTGGTGTATAATTCCGTCCTTGATACAGAAACTAAGTTCAGAGTGAAGAGCATACCTGTTCTGGATGTAATGTGGTTCCCCACTTGGGTACCACTCTTATCTTGGTGCATCCATGATCTATGCAGGTGATTTCTGTATAGATAATGCCCTCAGCATAAGCTCCCGCTATTAGTGGAAGCGGAGATAAGTATGTTTTGGAAATGTATTTCCAATAATACTTACCTCTGCTGACACTCTCCCACCTTTCCTCCCCACTAAGCAATCATGTTAGAGAATGGGGTGGTATCAGTCTCGAAAAAGTGATATAATTATCTGAATGGGGTGTTTTTATACAGTATCATGATAGAGGGTGCATTGACGTAGGTGGAGAGAGTCACAAGAGAATTATCGCCAAGGGAAATTGAGTGGGGTATAAAAGACTAGAGCAAGCGAGAAAAAATGAGACTACTGCTTAGATGGGCAAAGAAGAAACCCTTGCAATAGAGTAATCAGTGTGAGTAGAGGTAAGTATTACTGGAAATTTGCAATTGAGGAAAATGTTAACTTAAAGAATATTATTTTCACTTTGTCTTACAGAAAATGGTTTGATGCTAATATGCTGTCTTATATAATAGAACGTTTTTATTGTGTTTTATATTTGCATATGTAGTTACCCCAAGCACCAAGCTCTGCGGACGTAGTGAATTCCAATTTCGGGTGTCATACAGAAAATATCTTTGTAATAGCTTTTATATAAAGTAACACAATACAATGGACTAACCTAAACATTTAAAACAGCATTAAAAAGCTTTCAACCCTACGGTGTAAGCTTTTATATACTTTTTCTGTCGTTTTTCTTTACTTCATAACGTATGAGAATGCATTCTAAGTCCATCTTCATCGTGATAGTAAACATTTGGCCTTGTCAGGAAGGCCTGTAAGAAAATGTTCCCTCTTCTTCCTACTCGTGATATAATAGATTTTCTCTGAAGAAGAATAGAATAACGCAATGACGAAAAGTGGAAACAATCAAGAAACTTCATAAGGTCTGCATTTTGTGAAAAAAAGACTTCATTAGAAATGGGCACGGTCCTGACAAAGAACTAACTTTAATGAATTTTGATTAGCCATTAGAAAGAGCATGTTGTTTTTATCAGGTTTCTGGAGAATATGGAACAATATATTGTTAGTTTCTAGGCATTGGTATAGTTATCTTTATTCTGAGAGCTTCTTTAACATTCATAAGTTTCCAATGTTGGGCAATATCTAAAACTGTGTACTTATCACATTAAAACGAGTGTTTTGTGTTGTAAAAATTAACTATTTCAGATTTTATGGGAACCTTAGTGCTTCAGCATGTGCTGTTAATGTTTTAGCTATTTTTCTCCAATTTAGGTTTCACAGAAAATTGCAGGAAATATTGAAAAGTACATGTATTTGTTTCTGAGGATTACTAAGCTACTTTGCTTTTGTCAACATGTTTCGAAGACTGTATTCCTCTGAATCGAGAAACAAAACCGAATTTAAATGTATTAAAAATTCTTCTTTTATTGTAGCGTAGATTACATATAACTGGTAGAATAGTCTGTAAATTGTTACCTTAAGCAGTTCATCAGGCAGTCATGGAAACCTAAGACATTGTCACAGATCACTTAGGATAAAACTTCAACCACTATCTCCTTAAACACTGACGTTGCTGTGACACACACTTTATACAATACTAAGGTCTATAGGATTCTGTGATCTATTAAACACACTACCAATACAATAACAGAGATTATATATAACTAATTCTAAGATTTAGGCTTCTGTGATCTACTAAACACACTACCTTTAGCATAGCACAGATTATGTATAACTCATACTAAGATTTAGATTTCTGTGATATACTAAATACTAGTGCTATTATAACACAGATTATATATAACTAATACTAAGATCTAGACTTCTGTAAGCTACTAAACACAGTACCGTTGCTATAACGCAGATTGTATGTAACTAATACTAAGATCTAGGCTTCTGTGATATACTAAATACTACAGTTATTATAACACAGATTACATATAACAAATACTAAGATCTAGGCTTCTGTGATATACTAAATACTACAGTTATTATAACACAGATTATATATAACTAATACTAAGATCTAGGTTTCTGTGATATACTAAACACTACAGTTATTATAACGCAGATTACATATAACTAATACTAAGATCTATGCTTCTGTGATATACTAAATACTACAGTTGTTATAACACAGATTATATATAACTAATACTAAGATCTATAGTCTCCTGTGAGGTGCTAACCTCCGCCGTTGCTGTAACACAAGTAAGGGAAACGCCAGATATTCCCAAGCCCCACGGAATAGCCGAGTAGGGAGAGGATGAAGTCATATTTTCCGGTCCAGTTCCCTCGTTCAACTTCGTTTGTCTTTTCAGTACTCTCATCGTACTCACAGGCCTCGTTAATAGACAGTGGCAGTTCACTGTTTTTACGTAGAAAGGTGCCTTCCTCCTCGTCTGTCTAGAGAAAAAGGCATAAAAATTAAATCAACCAGTTCGTTCGAAATGTACGTGTTAATGATTTCAAAAGTAACTGTGCGCTAAAACGTGGATTACTTTACTGGTTCTAAGCCCACATTTTTCAAGCTCATGGTTCTTCATGCATATTGTTAGTTCAACAGTCGTATTTTTACATCCACGCTACTTGCCTGTGTTATTGGCTTATAGATCGATGTTTTAGTCATACATCCACGCTACTTGCCTGTGTTATTGGCTTATAGATCGATGTTTTAGTCATACATCTACGCTACTGGTCTATGTTATTGGCTTATAGATTGATGTTTTAGTCATACACCCACGCTATTTGTCGGTGTTATTGATTTCAGATCTATGTTGTCAGTTATACACCCACGCTACTTGTCTATGTTATTAGTTTATAGATTAATGTTATTGGTCATACACCCACGCTATGTTATGAGTTTATAGATCATTATTTTGTTTTCACACTTACAGTTGCTATCATAGTTCAATGTTTAATAATAAAAACATTTGAAAATGAATTATTTTTTATTTTAAGAACGTGAAATAAATTTGGGTTATAATATATTTATTGACATGTATTGTTAATGTCTTTTGACATTGGTAGAATACGTATATATATATATCATGCAATTAGTTTAGGTTCTGGTTGACCCTACATGAGGGAGAACTCTAGATTTTGTTCTCCGTAATTTAAATTGTGGGAACGTTATAAGAATGCAGCCAATACCTTAGCGTGACTGGTGGTGGTGGTAAAATGATACTAACTGGCTGCCTTCTAATGATACTAATTGGCTGCCTTCTAATGATACTAATTGGCTGCCTTCTAATGATACTAACTGGCTGCCCTCTTTGACAGCGCCAGATAGTTCTAGTAACTTTGCCATAAATACAACATGCAAAAGTAGGTTTGCTTTTCTATTTTAATGAAATAATCTGTATTTCCTACTATTAAAGTTATATATTTTGTTTGTAACACTTTAAATAACATATTTAGTAAGATACGCTTGATGAAAGCAGATAGATAACTAATGAAAATTAGGTCATCCCAAACATCGGTTTATTGGAAAGAGCGGTATCTTTACCGTCCCAAAAAACAGCTTCTGCTGATCAACAAATAAATGTGACTTTTCACAAACAGTTAACGTGTACTGCGCTTGTTGTTTAGATTGCAAAATCAGCTAAGGTTAGATTAGCGATTTTACATTTATATGGTCATAATTAAAAGAAACTGTTCCCTAATGAATGTTAGAATATTTTTATACAGACGAATTTCCCCTTCTAAAATATAAGTTTACAACAAAAACATTGCGAAACATAGTTAAGAATTTATGTCTACAGAAATATTCATTTTTAAGACGCAAGTTTACAATGAAATACGTTGTGAAACGTAGTTAACAATTAATTTTTACTAAAGTATTCTATTTTACTTTACAATGAAAGGTTTTGTATATATTATTATTGAACTGACTAGATAATTCAGCTGTGGTGGTCTTCAGCACAAAGCTGCAATAGAAGTTGGATGCTATTTCATAGATCAATACGTGATCCCAGCAGCAGCTTTGAACAAAGAATATTTAGAACACGAGCCCTAGGAAGGTAGCACATAATACAAGCCTGTTATGCAGCACGTTATTCTACCGATAGAGGGCTCTGTTTGGTGTTTCATTGATTTAGTAATAGCTGTGATTCAGCAGATTACAACAGCCAACTTCAGTAAAGCACACGCATGGTAACTAGTATAAATTATGTATGTGTTTAAACTGAAATTTGGCTAAGTAGACACAAGTTTTAACCGAAATTGTACATTTCTCTAATTATCAGATGTCTCTAAAGTATCAGAAACTAGAACTTGTAAATTATAAACTGCATCATTATATGAAGATAGAAAAATATAGTCGTAGGGTTAACAACTTTTACTCAGCCATCACGTTTGCATTTCATCAGGCACTTCTATACTAATTCTTAAACATACACATACATATATATACAGAACTGAGGTACACAAAGACGGTGTTACGTTGCACAAATACTTGTATTATTGCTTCCATGGTTTTGACAGTAAAACTGTAAAAAAAAACATTGTATACTGTATGTTTTCTTCCTCTTCGACTTTTTTGTTGTTCTGTGATATGTATTATAAATTAATTGCTAAGTAACAATTACAAATTGTGGTATAATACTAAAATCATAACTATCTGAGCCTTAAAGACATTGCATTTGCAATGAAAATATTCTAAAAAGTGTCTCGATGTACGTCTGTAATATAGCTAAAAACGATGTTCTAATGAATTTAGTATTCTTAGGTCAAAAAAGACAAACCCCTAGGTAAAAAAAGGCATAGCTTTGGTTTCACATGATTAATTTCAAACACCCTTTTTAGCTTGCTTATATGTCAAGTCAAGTAGGTGCAAGTGTAACATAAACTAATGGAAAATTACTCTGGCAGGAAAAGATTTTCTATTTTTGGCCTCTGCTACACCAGAAAGTATTTGGCTTGAACTGGAACCTCTCCAAGTATAATAGCCTCAAGTGTTTTTTTTTTGGAAGAAACAATCAGACCCAGCTGCCTGATAAACTGGAGCAGGTTTACGTATTCAAAACAACATTGTTATGAGTATTAACTATCTGTAATTAAAAGCAAATACAAAATGTAACAATAGCCGTAACATATCAATGTGTCATTATACACGTAACGTTTAATAGCGGTTTGTTTGTAATTAAGCACAAATAGGCTATCTGTGCTCTGCTCACCACGAGTATCGAAACCCGAATTCTAGCGTTGTAAGTCCGCAGGCATACCGCTGTGCCACTGGGGAGCTTTAATGGCGGGAGTCCAAAATCGCAGTTTCATTAAACTATCGGTAATTGTTAAAAATTATCTATTTAATACACCATCCTTACGTTTGTATGTTAGCACACGTAAGTTGCCTGCGCAAACTCGAAAACGTTCAAGCGTTTGAGTGCAGAAAAGGATAGATGGAGCAATAAACACAACATATTCCATTTATTGAAAGAGAGAGAAGAGGAATTATAAGTAAAGCATGTTTTGTATTATTGTGTGAATAACTTTGTGTCAAAATGTATATTATTGATCATTATTTCGAACTACTTAAAAAAAAATCTCACTTGGTTATTAGTCGGTGTTGTGTATTGTTAGCATAATGTAAAAATAGACGAATTCTATTTTAATACTATGACGTGAGTACAGAAACCGTACTTCAAATTATGTCATATTCGAGTTCTTCTAACATTCAGAACGTTCAAATAAAATATAAAAATAGTTACAAAAAACAAATAAAGAAGCCGCTCCTGCTGAACATGACTTTTACCTAGACTACTGAACTTGATCATGAAAACATTATTGTAAACATTTGTCGCCTTATTACTTCAGAACGTCTACTTCATGCACCTACAAGTACAGGCTGAACTCAGTTAATTTATCTATATTCACACAAGCTGGCCTGCGAAACTAGTAACAAAACAAAGTTATACTTCATATTCAGACTGCGCATCTACGTATATATAGAGTAGCAGAGTCAAGTTTCTATACGTATAGACGTAAAAAGGTTTTAGTTTTACGTAAGAAAAGGTTGAGAATTCTTTTATTTGCAAAAAGAAAACATCACCATTGGCATTGGTGTATTAAGTTTACTAATATTTCGTGTTTCGATAACTTTTTATCTTATTTCACCATGCTCAGATAGTTTAAAATAAAAAAACATCAATTGTGTATGTACAGGTTAGCAGCTTATATAGGATAAGTGTACTGATTAACCCTTTTATAACCAGATACTAATTAGTTTTTATTGCATATTTCGGCTATTAATTTTCTGCTGTTTTTAGAGAAAACTCCAGAAGGACTATGTCTGTATTTATAGACTGGGATTCGATCTTGGATCTTCTTGGTGGGTTATCCAGTGGATTAAGATTTACCTAATTATGATAGTTAAATCAACATGCTACGTAAATGGTTTTAAGAAAGGTATCCATGCTTTGTTAGGTTCTATACTAGGTTGGTTAAGTGTGTTATCAGTTAGATATAAGTATAAGGTTTCTTTTATTTTTCTTTTTCTAACGTGTGGTTTTTATCCCATTATTTAAAAAGATCATTTGATCTTCATCTCCAGCCCGATAGGTTATCATAGACAGTGGTTGGTATTAACAAGTCTTAAACGTCTATTATGCTCCTGAATTCTAACTTTTGTTGATATTTTTGTTTCTACAGCTCATTGGAACCTACATAACAAGAGATGTTGTAAATGGAATTTCCTCTCTCCCTTGGGTCCTTAGATGGTTTGGTGTGTACTAATTGCGATCGTATTGGGTTTTGGCATCTGAATATTGTTCAGTAATTATGTTGTTTATATATGTCCTCTGAGTACCACATCTGAATATTGTTCAGTAATTATGTTGTTTATATATATATCCTCTGAGTACCACGTCTGAATATTGTTCGGTAATTATGTTGTTTATATATCCTCTGAGTACCACATCTGAATATTGTTCAGTAATTATGTTGTTTATATATCCTCTGAGTACCATTCAGAATATCTACTAATTATGGGTGTTCTTCTTAAACATAATTTTTAGCTTCAAATTTGGAAATATTTAAAACCTTCATTGATTAACATAATTTTTCTTAATAAATCATTCTGGTCCACAAAAGTACAGTTTGGTAAAAGCTAATATAGCATAACCTATAGAAACTCCCCATAGTCACAACTGTAGCACTAAAAAAATAGTTTCACTAAATGTATAAAAAACACATAAAAAAAACATGGAATGAAGCCAAACTATCAATGAGTTTAGTAACACGTTTTGTGTAAAGTTCAGTGTACGTTAGGGGAATGTTTGAAACTTCTGGCCTCCTTTCCTTAGGGGACGAAATAATCACTTATTCGTGTATTACTACAGTTGGTGGCCATGTTGAATCTGAGAAACCTAATATTTGATTAGTATTTCTATATGTGTTATTAATGT